ATCACCAGTGCCGGGCTTAAAATAGGTTTACCTTTAATTTAGGGATCATTTTCTAATGAAGCTGTTAGATTTTCCCTAGGCTGCTGATAAGAATGTAAAATAGTATGGCCGCTCTGGAAATGAATCCTGGCCATTTCTTTTAAGGTTAAAACCTATACCCATTGAACTGGGAATTTTACCCAAGAACACATAACTGGAAACAACTCAAATGTTCTTCACACAAATTGATAAGCAAACTGTGATACATCTTTTCATGGGCTGCTGCTGGTAAAAGAGGGAATCTGCTGTGGACACAGCCACTAGATTGGATCTATCTTAAGGGCATCATGCTAAATGAGAAGCCACTCACAAAAAGTCACATAGTGTGTGGCTCCATTTATCCAAGAATTTTCCAGTAACAGAATTAGAGCTGAGGCTCCCTGGAGGTCAGGATAGGTGTGGGAGGATGTAACTAGAAAAGGCTACACAAAAGAGTCTTGTGTCCATGGATCAGGCCTCTATTACAGTTGACAAGATGGTTGCACAAATCCACACATTCGTTAAAATTTTATAGCAATAATTTCCCTCTCCATCCCCACTTCCAGAATAACTAAGTGAGGCTGGGTATGGGTATGGTGGAGCATACCTGTAATCCCAGCTACTCAGGTGGCAGAGGTCGGTGGATCACAGTTGATAGAAGAACTGGTAAGAGGCAAATAACGTCTTTAGTTAATAGTGTTGTTCCAATGTCCATTTCTGGGAATTCCAAGTGTACACTGTGATTTACAGAAAAAGATCTCTGAGAATACAGAGACACGTAGCTAGGAGCTAGACACTCTGTATTGTTTTATATCTCCTTAGGAGTCTTAAACTATTTTAAAATAAAATCTAAAAGAATTGAGGAGAGATGGCAGAAAGCAGATGTGGCTAAAGGGCGCAGTAGTGGCCGCCTTCAGAGGGGCAGAGGTGGAGGCTGGCATGGGCATCTGGGCCACCTGTTACACATCAGCTTGAGACCCACGCCTGCCCCTATAATGTGCGGTGAGTGGACATCCAATTAGGCAGGCTGATTCAGCACCCCTGCTCTTCTTTTCCTCCTCTAAGAATGCACTGAAATGATGACAAATGAGTTGGAAACCAAAGCAAAGCCCCAGTGGCTGAGGACCAGGCCTGAGGGAGGTGGAATGGAGTGTGCTGCTCCCTGGGCTTCCTGGCTCCTCCTACCCCTCGCCACTGGCTGCAGCACTGCAGACCACGGATTGGATCTCAGGATGGGTGAGGAACCCTGAGCCTGGAGCCACTCACAGTTCTGAGCAACACTTAGAATTGGATGAAAATCAGCTGAGCATCCTAGGAGTTCCTTAGCCCCATTCCTGACAGGAAGTCCTGATCCCCTGATGTCTCTCCCACCCCCACCACCCCACCACCCCACCACCCCACCCAGGGATGGGATGTTAGGGAAAACCCAGTGGCCCAGACTGCCATCTTTGGCTGGCCTCACAGCTGACTTGCTATTTCATGCAGCCACATGATACCATAGCTTCCTGCCGTGCTTAAGGCCTTCTCTGCTAAAAAGGACCTATCAGCTACCAAAAACATGAAGACAGTCTTTAGCATAGAACACAAAGGGATATTAAATGAGAAAATGGAATAAAACTCCAACAATCTGCATGTATTCAGATAAAAGAAGATTCTGCCTTCATCAAGAATAGGAAGTTGAGAGCCAGACATAGAACTCATGCCTATAATCCCAGCTACACAGGAGCCCAAGATCAGGAAGAATCTCTCTGTTTGAGTGAGCCAACCCAAGCAAAAAGTTATAGAAACCCCATCTCAACTAATAGAAGCTGTGCATACTGTATCCTGTCATCCCAGCTACCTATAAAGTATAAATAGGAGAATCATGATCTATGTTGACCTAGCATAAATAAAAGGGGTAGAGCACCTGCCTTGCAAACACAAGGCTCTAAGTTCAAACTTCCTTGTCACCAGAAACAAATAGAAAAAAGAAACTTTTAAAGCACTTTGTAGAAATTCAAACTGTCGGTTAGCCACCAGTGGTTCATACCTATAATCTTAACCACTCACAAGGCTGAGATCTTAGGATCGAGATTCAGAGCCATTCCAGACAGACAAATCTAAAAAACCCTTAACTTTAAATAACCAGCAAAAAGTCAGAACTAGAGGTGTGGTTCAAGTGGTAGAGTACCTGCCTTGAGCCAGAAAACCAAGTGAGTAAGACCCTAAATTCACCCTGAAAATGGCACAAAAAAAAAGAAGGGAAAGGGGAAAGAAACAAAAATTGTGACATCAAAAGCTTAAAAAAAAATAACAGAATTGGAATGTAAAGTGGAGAATATCTGCCAGCAATATAGAACATAAAGACAGAAAATGAACAATGATAGTGCCATAAAACCCCCTTGTATAATTAGTACATGTTAATAAAATATTCTTAATGAAAATGGACAGTGAGTGATAAATCCAGGATGTGAAAATTCCAGAGTTCTGGAAAGAGTAGAGACAAGAAATAAAACAGGAATGACCTAACTTTCCACTTGCCTAGGATCCTCCAAGTGTCCAGTCAAATTAATGGAAAAAGTACCCATAGTGAGGTGACCCAAAGGTCAATTTTACAAGACAGAGATAAAAAAAGATGGTTTCCAGAAATAAGCCATGCTTGTGCACGCTGGTCCTAGGTATTGAACTCAGGACCTGGAACCTGTCCCTCAGCTTTTGCTCAAGGCTAGCACTCTGTCACTTAAGTCACAGCTCAACTTCTGAGTAGTTTATTAGGGATAAGAGTCTCATGAACTTTCCCTCCTGGGCTGGTTTTGAACCATGAACAGATCTCAGATCTCAGTCACTTGAGTAGCCAGGATTACAGGTCTGAGCCTGGCAATAAGCCTTAAAGGGAAAAGTCACCTACAGAAGAAATGACAATTGATTTCTTAACTACCCTGGATGCTAGAGACAGCAGAACTGTGTCTGGGCAATTCTGAGGAAAGCAGTTGTGTGTGATGTCGGGCTCTGTCTCTGAGCTTTTTTGCTCAAGGCTAGCAAGAGTGCTTTAAGCCTCAGAGCCACTTCTGATTCTCTGGGGGTTAATTAGAGAGAGTCTCACAAACTTCCCTGCCTGTGTTGACTCCAAGCTCTGATCCTCAGATCTCAGCCTCCTGAGTAGCTAGGATTACATACATGAGCCACCAGAGCCTGGCTTCATGATCATTCTTAAATGTGTTTTGGAGACTGGTCTGCAGCCGAAAGGAAGGAAGTTGTTGACATAGATCTGACTACTGAGCTCCGGCCACAAGCAGCCGGAGGGAGATGCAGGGACAACAGCCTGGTAGACTGGGGACAGTCTGGCCACATGGGGCCACATGGAGCAAGAGGACCAGAGTCTCCGGAGCAGGCTAGTAGGGGGTACGGGAGCTTAGCTAGCAGTTCTGGGTCCAAGGACTGGTGGGGGTGGGTGCTCCGACAGCTCTGACAGCAGGAAGGATTTAAGGCAGGTACATAGAAAAGGAAGCAGAGGAGCCAAGGAGACAATATTAATCCCAGGACAAACACAAAGGCCTTTTAAACCAAGAAAGTCCCTTCCTCCCATTGTAGCCACTAGTATTTACAAAGGCAAGGTGGATGATGTCGCTGAAAATGGCCATTTAGTTCTATAGGAAGGACTGAGGGAGGGCAAAACGAGGCGGGGCAGAGAACTACGTCCTCTTGAAGCCAGTAAGTTACTTCTCCAAACAGAAAGATCAGAAACACTAGATACTAAACAAAAGAGCTTAATTGAAAGCATTGTTGGGAGTGTGCAGGGTGGGGAGAGGTGGTTTCTCCTGGGTGCCTGGATCCCATCCACTCCCAGCGCTAATGAGAACCTGGATCTGAGGGTGAGGTGCTTGCCCCCTGGCATGCTGGGTACTCTCATTCTTACACCTCGTCACCGACAGACAGGATGTGCAGTGGGCTGGAGGAGGTGGGGAGACTGGAGCCGGCCAGTGATTAGTACTGAGTGGCTCATTACTTCAGAGACAGCACCGAGACGTACAGTCATCATGTTGTCAGTCTTGAAGTCAGGAAGAATAAAATCGAAATCTCTAAGAAGTTTCTAGTCACTGGGTCAATCGTCCATTTCCCCTGATTATAATATAATGAAGTTCAGGTCATATAGTGAAGCAAGTCATCATATTATAATGAGTCATATTATAATGAGGTCCAGGGTCATGTCTCTTGTTTCTTTTCCTTTTTTTTTTTTTGGGTCCGGTCGTGGGGCCTGAACTCTGGGCCTGGGCGCTGTCCCTTCAGCTCAAGGCTAGTGCTTTACCACTTGAGCCACAGTGCCACTTCCGGCTTTTTTTTTTTCTGCTTATGTGATGCTAAGGAATCGAACCCAGGGCCTCATGCATGCAAGGCAAGCACTCTACCACTGAGCCAACTTCCCAGCCCCTCCTTTCCTTTTTTTTTTCTTTTTCTTTTTTTTCCTCTTTTGTGCCGGTGCTGGGGCTTGAACTCAAGGACTGGGTGCTGTCCCTGAGCTTTTTCACTCAAGTCAGATTGATACTCTACCACTTGAGCCATATCTCTGTTTCCAGCTTTTGGGTATTTAATTGGAGATAAGAGTCTCATAGCCTTTCCTGCTAAACTTGGCTTTGAACTGAAATCCTCAGGTCTCAGCCTCCTTAGTAGGATTACAGGTGTGAGCCACCAGCATCCATTTGCTAACATGGAGAACAAAACCATTACCAATCCACTTATACCCAAGAGGGTGCCTCAGCCTCTGAGGTCACAGCCCCTGGGGGCCTCAGGGATGTGAGTGTATGTTGCCTACTCTGTTTATGGTAAGTTCTAGGCCACCTTTGGGAACTGAGGGCTTCCAGGGTTCCATACAACTGGACCATGAGGTCAGGAAATGGTGCTGGTCCAGATTCATGACTTTGGGGACTGTGAAGTTAATCACAGTTAATCACTCAAGATTGTGTGTTCTATTATTTATTAATAATTTTGTTTTGTATGTTTGTCAGAATGTTATGGAGCAGTTCAATCCTGGACTACGAAATTTAATCAACCTAGGAAAAAATTATGAAAAAGCTGTTAATGGTAAGTCTGTTCATCCAAATCGATGACTGGTGGTGGGGCTTGAACTTGGGGCCTGGGTACTGTCTCTGATCTTCTGCTCAAGTCTAGCACTCTACCACTTTGAGCCACAGTGCCACTTCTGGTTTTCTAGTGATTTATTGGAGATAAGAATATCACAGGCTTTCCTGCCTGAGCTGACTTCAAACTGAGATCCTCAGATCTCAGCCTCTTGAGTAACTAAGATTACAGGCATGATCCAAAGAACTTTGCAAGGGTTGGTGCTATTGGTGGGTGTGAAATGTGTGAATTGGATGATAGGCTGCTATAACGATAGATACTGCTTTTTTTTTTTTTTTTTTGGGTCGGTTGTGGGGTTTGAACTCTGGGCCTGGGTGCTATCCCTCAGCTCTTCAGCTCAAGGTGAGTGCTCTACTACTTGAGCTATAGCGTCACTTCCAGTTTTCTAGTGGTTTATTGGAGATAGGAGTCTCGGTCTTTCCTGCCCGGGCTGGCTTTGAACCACGATCCTCAGATCTCAACCTCCTGAGTAGCTAGGATTACAGGCGTGAGCCACCAGTTCCCAGCTAGCTTTTTGACTCAAAATTGTCCTCTTATGTCCTTGCCATGAACATGTTTTCTACTTGTGTGTCTGTACTGGGTACCTTCTGCCCTTCAAGAGCAAGGCTAGAATGTGAAGCTGGTTCTCCTTGGTTCAACCTGGCTCTCCCTGGCTGCTTGGGCAGTCACAAGGCCACAAAGTCCTTGCATGTCCACAGCTGTCCCTGGGAAGGAAATCACTGTGATGTGCAGCATGAGCTACAAGGAAGCTAAGGCTCACCCAGAAGGCTCTTCTTACCTTTGTACCCTGCAGAGACAATCCTGTTCTTGAGTCTTCCTGAGCCCCGCATAGGCACTTGTTTGTAGTTTTGCTGAGTCCACAGAGAAATGTAGCTAGCTACATTATAAAGCCCTGGGTAAGAACAGGGATGTCAGCCAGATGTGTAGTCAAAGCTAGATTCTAGAGTGGAGTGTCAGGCATAACAGAGCCATGTGAAGACCAGGGTCACAGGCATCCCAGCAGCAGAGGCTGGTGTGGACTGGGGCAGGCTGGCTAACAGATGGTGAGCCCCACAGGCCATAGGGAGATAGATGCTGATGGGATGGATCAGTGCTGATGTGTGTGAATGTGGAACCCAGCAAGCGAGCCTCCAGTCTGGTGACCTAGGACAGCCATTTCTGTTTCCCCTAGTAGGCCAAATACTTCTTTCCTCCTGAGTCTCACCTTTGCATAGCTGGCCTGGACCCCAGGCCAGACATGTACTCTCTGTGACACTGACCCCCTGCAAGGAGGCCACACACTGGCCCCCCCCCCCCCATGTGTCAGGCGGTCCCAAGAATGCAAGCCCCAATGCCGAGTTCTCATCAAGCCTGTGGGAACATGCTTTCTGCCACACTGGCCAGGGCAATGGCCATGGCCAGGACCCCATCAGTGTTGCGCAGACTGGGAATTCCAGAGGCGCAGCTCCATGAGGGCCATTCCTCTAGGGAGGAGGGCCTGTCTGGTAGACCTGTCCCACGCCAGCAGGAGACACTGGGACTTTTTTCTTTTGGTTCAATTGTGAGGCCTGAACTCTGGGCCTGGGCGCTGTCCCTCAGCTCTTCAGCTCAAGGCTAGCGCTCTACCACTTGAGCCACAGCGCCACTTCCAGCTTTTTTTTTTTCCCCTTTTGCTTATGTGGTGCTGAGGAGTCGAACCCAGGGCCTCAGGCATGCAAGGCAAGCCCTCTACCACTGAGCCACCTTCCCAGCCCACACTGCGGACTTTTGAGGGGTACAGTGACCTAGTGAAACTGCATTTGGAAAAAAAAATTAATCTGGTAGGGGTACAAATGTAGATTAATTTGTACTAGTGAAGTAATTATCCTTCATTCCTAAAGCAGTAAGAAACAAAAACTCTTAATATGTTCAGAAAGGGGGACAGAATTATGAACCTGTTATTTTGTTCTTTGTTTGTTGGGGTTTTTCTTTGGGGGAAGGGTCAGTCATGGGGCTTGAACTCAAGGCCTGGGCACCGTCTCTGAGCTCTTTTTTGCTCAAGGCTAGTGCTCTACTACTTTTTTTTTTCCCCCGAATTTTAGGAGTATATTTCTACCAGCTATTCTCCAAAGGCTTAATAAGAAGATACTTACAAGATCCAAAAATTAAATACTAAATTAATACAATTAATACATGAGTAAGTGAAGTGAAAGACACTGATCAGAGAGACCTATGCTGCCTCCAGCTCTCAGCCAGCCGCTCACTGTGGCACCTGTGATGCCGCCAGGACCTGAGATTGTCTTCTCCAGAGCAGTGGCTGTGCTGGGGTTCCGGCTGGGGCTGTGTGGAGAGAAGGGTAGGCTGCCAGGGAGACTGAGCAGGGGCTGGGGCTGGGGACCATGTGGAGAGGAGGGTAGGCCATGGAGGAGGCCAGTGAGGGGAGGAAGGATGCTCTACTACTTCAAGCCACAGTGCCACTTCCAGTTTTCTGGTGGTTAATTGGAGATAAGAGTCTCACCGACTTTCTTGCCTGGGGTGGCTTTGAACCACGATCTTCTGACCTCAGCTTCTTGAGTAGCTAGGATGACAGGTGTGAGCCACCAGTGCCAGCATGTATGTGTATGCATGTGTGTGTGTGTGTGTGTGTGTGCGCGCTGGTATTGGGGCTTGAACTCTTAAGCCTTGTACTCTCACTTGGTTTTTTCATTCATGGCTGATGCTCTATCACTTCAGCCATACCTCGAGTCCAACATTTTCCTGGTCTATTGGAAAGAGTCTCATGGATTTTTTTTGCCCAAGTTGGCTTTGAACCATGATTCTCAGATCTCAGCCTCCTGAGTACCTAGGATTATAGCATGTTACATGGTTTCTAAGTTTATTCAACTTTATCCTAAAAACCAAAGATTTTTATCAGGCTGAGACAGTTTTAAATCCAAGTCAACCTTTCCCTAGTGATTTCAATGTCATGTGTGAAGGCAAACCAGAATTTCCATTTAGTTATTGCGCAGTCCTGCATGCCATCCTCCCACTAATTTGCTTTTCAGTTGATCCACACTTTCCAGCTTCAAGTCTTCCTTCTAAAATGCATAGATTAACTTGACAGTTTGCTGGCTGCACACCTTGTTTTTTTAGCAGGAGACCAGAGTCGAAAAGCAGTGTGATTTAGAACTGAGGGAACAGAAGGACCTAAGTCAGTGCTGGGTGTACTGCCTCTGTCTCCCAGGGACCTTGTGGATGACCTCAGGATATCTTACCTTCCCCCATCAGCCCCAGGGGCTGATAACCAAACACTGCCTTCACACTATGGGGGGAGATTAAATAATTGGCTTCATCTTTATACTTTAAGCCTCTCCTGCTCATATAAAACATCAGTGTAGCAGACCATAACATTTCCTAAATTTATGTACATACACTACAAGCTATGTAAGTTACCACCATAAATGCTTTTGTTTTGCCATAAACATCAGATCCGTGCCGCTCTTCTGTGTTTCCTTTTAAATCCTTCTTTAAGAACCTGTTCGGGCTGGGAATGTGGCTTAGTGGTAGAATGCTTGCCTAGCATACAAGAAGCCCTGGGTTTGATTCCTCAGTACCACATAAATAGAAAAAGCCGCAAGTGGCACTGCAGCTCCAGCTAGCCTTGAGCAAAAGAAACTCAGGGATAATGCCCTGAGTTCAAGCCATGAGTTTTTGCCATGACTGGCAAAAAAAAAAAAAAAAAAAGAAGAAGAACCTGCTCATAATCTTGAGCAGGGCAGCCTTGCTAGTCTTTGGGAAAAGGAAGAGACAGGAGCAGAGGCCCTTTTAGTTCTGAGACCCCATGGTTTCTGGGTATGAAACCAGCCTGTGAGCTAGACACATAAATAGGTGTTGTTTCTACACAGCCAGGTCTTAGTGAAAAGCTTGCTTGTCATCCGCTTCCTTCTTTTCACGCTCACTGCTTCCAGTTCCCCAGTCACCAGGCTATTTTACAGCCCAGCACCCTGGTTTCACAACAAATATGCCACTTGGCCAAAATATCTTCAATCGGCCTGAGAGGTAAGGTAATTTTTTAGGATAATTAGAACCAAGCATATAGTATAGTGAAAAAATACTCCCAACAGGTGCCGGTGGCTCACACCTGTAATCTTAGTTACTTAGGAGACTGAGATCTAAGGATGGTGGTTCCAGGCCACCCCAGGCAGGAAAAATCCTTGAGATCCTTATCTCCAATTAACTACCAAAAGAAAGAAGGAAAGAGAGGAAGAAAGAAACAAGAGGGGCTGGGAAGGTGGCTCAGTGGTAGAGCACTTGCCTTGCATGCTCGAGGCCCTGGGTTCTATTCCTCAGAACCACATAAGCAAAAAGAAAAAAGCCAGAAGTGGCGCTATGGCTCAAGTGGTAGCGAGCTAGCCTTGAGCTGAAGAGCTGAGGGACAGCTCCCAAGCCCAGAGTTCAGGCCCCATGACCGGACCAAAAAAAAAAAAGAAAAGAAAAAGAATGAAACAAGAAAAGTCAAGTCTGAAGTGGGGATGTGGCTCAAGTGGTAGAGCACTAGCCTTCAGCAAAAAGGCTCAGGGACAGCGCCCATGCCCTGAGTTCAAGCCCCAGGACCAGCACACACACACAAAAAATGAATGAAAAAAGTACAATAATACTCCTCTCCTGTTTCTGCTAATGAAGAGAAAAGTAGAACATTTTATTCTTTTTATTGAAATGCTAATATGCTTAAAATTTCATCGATCCTTCCCCCCCCCCCCAACAAGTTACGTGGTTGGTTGTAATTCTGAATGTCCTTGTTTTTGAGGGGGGATGCGGGGGGGGGGGGGTTGGTTAGTCATGAGGCTTAAACTCATGGCCTAGGCACTATCCCTGAGCTTCTCTGTTCAAGGCTAGTGCTTTATACTTTGATCCACAGCAACACTTCTGGATTTCTGGTGGTTAATTAGAGAGAAGAGTCTCACAGACTTTCCTGCCCAAGTTGGCTTTGAACTGTGCTCCTTAGATCTCAGCCTCCTGAGTAGCTAGGACTACAGGTGTGAGTCACTGGTGCCTGGTGTTGAATGTCCTTTTTTAATAGAAAAAGCAAATGTACCACCACAGTTATGTGGGTCTTCTGACTGTAAGCAGCACTGCAGAGGCCATAGCCCGGGAAAGTTCTTTGCTGAAGTCTCTCTGATGTCAGGTTACAGCACACCAGCTGCCCCAGGCCCCCAGTCTGGTCCCAGCCAAAGCCTGAGCGAGCCTGCTTTGCCACCAGAAGGGACAGAGAGAAGAAAACCTGTGTGGCTTCTCCTTTCCTGTCCCAGTGATGATTTTGTGTCATTTTCCCTGTATAGCTATGATCCTGGCCGGAAAAGCCTACTACGATGGAGTAGCCAAGATTGGGGACATGGCCACCGGGTCCCCTGTGTCGACTGAACTGGGTGAGCCGACCTTCCTCCATTCGCTTAACTTGCTGTCTTGGGTCCTCTGGTAGCAATAGGCCAAGGGAGCTGGCCAGGCACTGAATGTCTACAGCCAGTGGTAATGTGAGGTGGTGGGAGATCCAAGGGGAGAGAAGGGCCCCCAGTACCCCAACAGCTTGGCCTGTACCTCTGATCTCCAGACTCCAGTGCCCGGAGCTCTGACCTATATTAGAGCCAGGAGCCAGGAGCCAGGCCTCTGACCTGGCTGGCCAGTGAGTTTCCTGTGACTCAGCCCACAGAAGGCCTCCTGGCCATGCCATCCCTGGCTGGGCCTCTTGCTTCCACAGTGGCTTCCCGTGGTGATTTTTCCAGTTCTGCCGCTATGAATCGGCCTCCTGTGCAGACATTGGACAGCCACACCCTGGGCAACTCAGCCACAGAGGGAAGCCAGCTTTCTGTTTACAGAGCTGCCTGGCCAGGCGGCCCCTGTGGGGATGAAGGTCCACCTTGCTATCACCTCATGTTTAGCTCAGTGTACTTTATCATTGTCATTCAAAATGTTCAGAAAGCGAGAGTCAAAAGTAGTAAGGACTGCAAGTGCATCGGTCTCCAGTGAAGACAGAGGAAGGGCAGCTGAGGAGTGGGGCTCAAGCACTAGGGTGCCTAACTTGAAAGTGTGAGGTCGTAAGTTCAAACCCCAGTACCACTGGGGTGGGGGGAAAGGAAAGGGGTCTTGGTACCCTACCTCATGCCTGTAATCCCCATTTGCCCCTCCATTTCAACCAATGTGGTGGGGCATATCTGTCATCCCAGCTACCCTGCAGGCATAGGTAGGAGGATGGAGGTCCAGGCCAGCCTTGGGCCAAAGCATGAGACCCTACCTGAAAAATAAGTAAATCTGAAAGAGGCTTGGGGGTGTGGTTCAAGAGGTAGAGGATCTGTCTAGCAAATGTGGGGCCCTGGATTCAAATTCCAGTACTGCTGAAAAAGAAACAAGAGGCCTGAGATAGCCCAGGACAGCAGGGCATCATAGAGGTGATCCAGACCATACTCACTGCCCCCACAGAGCCCCGGAAACCTCCCCAACCCTCATGCAAGGCAGAGGCTGGATGACAGGGACAGGGCAGGGGCAGGCTGCTAGCTTCGAGTTCTCCTGATTTCTCCCGAGGAGCTCATAAAAAGGTAGCCGAGGTAAATGACAGGTCAGATGGGAGCCAGGTTATAAGGATGCCAACCCTGTAGAACTGACTAGAAGGTTTTGGGGTGCCTCCCAGGCCGTGCGCTACCAGTCCTGCTGCTTGATCTCTGTGGCTGCTCTGTAACAGCTCCGTCCTAAGCCTGATCGATTTCACAATGAGGAAGCAAGGCTGAGGCCAGTGGGGGGATTGCTGGATGATTTCAGGGTTCCCAAAATAGGACCTAATGGGAAAGCCACCTCCCATCAGTGCCTGGCACCTGGGGTGGGGGTGCGTGGGCCTTCCTGACTCACCACCATTCAGTTTGCCTGCTTAATGTTTTATGGGTCTTGCCACTGTTTAAATGACACTTTTCCACACCCTGCTTTATTCAGCTGTGAGGTCGTTGGTTTATAACATTGAATCAACTGTTTCCACAGCAACAGGCTTGGTATAAACACACCTTGAAACCCCAGTTCAGTCAGGAAAATGCGGCACGGTGAAGGCCCTGGCACGGTGAAGGCCCTGCCCCAGGAAGGGAAGTTCCTTGCTTCACGTTGTCTTGCTAATATTCAATTCTCTGAGAAAGTGCAGCCTCACCAAGAATTGCCTCTGGGCATCTAAGAGTGACTCCTTTTGACTTGTAAAGTTTTCCTTTTGTTGTTAACATTTAAAAATGCTCTATTTATTTAAATTCTCTGTATGGAAGGGAAGTCAGAATTTCATATATGTGTGTGTGTGTGTGTGTGTATGTGTGTGTATGTATGTATATATGTATAAACACATAATAAAGCTTGGTGGTTGGGGTGGTGCATGCCTGTCTTGAAGCAGCAGACTGCTTTCTACAATAAATCGGAAGGAGCAAGTTTCCTTTTAGGTTATTCATCACCCAGGACCCTGTTTTTCTCTCTTCCCATCTTCATGCCCGTTTTCTCATGCTACCAGAAAGGTTGCTGCTGTAGCTATCACATCTGTTATCCCCTTGTCTGCCAAAGTAGGAAGTGGAATTTCTTCTCAGATGTTCCCATTTTTGTTTTTTGTCAGTCAGGGCTTGAACTCAGGGCGTGGGCATTGTCCTGAGCTTTTTTGCTCAAAGCTAGCACTCTACCACTGTGAGTCACGGCACTACTTCTGGTTTTCTGGTGATTAAGTGGAGAAAAGAGTCTCACGGACTTTCTTTTTTTGTTTGGGGGGGGGTGGGGGGTCCGGTCGTGGGGCCTGAACTCTGGGCCTGGGCGCTGTCCTTCAGCTCAAGGCTAGCACTCTACCACTTGAGCCACAGCGCCACTTCCGGCTTTTTTCTTTCTGCTTATGTGGAATCGAACCCAGGGCCTCAGGCATGCAAGGCAAGTGCTCTACCACTGAGCCACCTTCCCAGCCCCTCTCACGGACTTTCTGGGCTGGCTTTGAACAGAGATCCTCAGATCTCAGCCTCCTGAGTAGCTGGATTACAGGCGTGAGCCACCAGTGCTATAGAGAGAAAAACTATGCCCTGAAGCCCAACACATAGTCCCTTAGACCCATCCCATGATGGGATTTCAGTGACACACCCATGCCCAGCTGCCAGAAAGGCAGGCATCCTGGGCATGGTAGCCAAGGAATGCAGGGTAGGGGGAGGACAGCTGCTGGGGAATGCCTGGTGATGCAGCCTGGTCAGGCATTACAGCCTTTCCATGAAGGGGCAGCTAATGCACTGGTAATCTCCGAGTACTGCTATGTCTTGCTATCAGTGGAGGTGACAAATCTCCCCCTCCCCCATGGGCTTGGGCCATAGGCATGTCCGTTACACTCTGCCACCTGTTTCCTTCAGCCTTTGCTCATGCTCCAGAAGACCACTGCTGCCCTTCCTGGCTGTTCCTGTGTGCTTCAGGGTCCAAGTTCAAAGGAACGTGTCACTACCTATTTGTTTTCCCACGTCTTTGGGTATCTCTCATGCGCGTGTGCGTGCGTGCGTGTGTGCGTGCATGCGTGTGTGCGTGCGTGCGTGCGTGCGTGCGTGCGTGCGTGCGTGCGTGCGTGCGTGCGTGTGTGTGTGTGTGTGTGTGTGTGTGTGTATACTGGTACTGGGGCTTGGGCTCTGGGTCTCCTCCTGGCCTAGCAGGCTTGTCTACCACTTGAGACATACCTCCAGCTCTGATTTCTGGTAGTTATTTGGAGATGGAGTCTAGAGGACTTATCTAGGCAGAAAACAAAGCAACAAAATCAGATATAGTGGAGAGGACAGAAGTGGCTCAGGGGGTTGGCCCAGACCTTAATCCTCCTACCTATGCTTCCTATGCAGCTTGGATAACAGGATTGTACCACCACATACAGCTTGCTTGTTGAGATAGATCTCACTAATTTTCTGCTCTGGCTGCCCTCAAACTGCCATCCTCCCCAGTCTTCACCTCTCAGGTAGCTGAGATTATAGGCAGAACTACCATGCCTGACCTTAAATGAAGTTTTGTTTATTTTGTTTTGTTTTGTGCCAGGGCTTGAACTTCAGGCCTTAGGCCTTAAGCTCTCACTCAGCTTTCTTGGTAACAGCTGGCAGTCTACAGCTTGAGCCACACTTCCAGTTCTGCCATTTTGCTGGTCAATTGGAATTGGAATCTCACAGGCTTTTCTACGCAGGCTGGCTTTGAACCATGGCCCTCCAAAACTCAGCCTCTTGAGCAGCTGGGATTGCGGGCATGGACCTCCTGTACTTAGAAGTTTTGTGGAACATGGCACACTCATTTGTTCATGGATTCTGTGTGGCTGTTTCCAGTGGCAGAGTTGCCTAAAGCTTTTACCATATGACCTCCCTTATCATGCTTTTACCCAGACAGGACAAAACCTTAATATCAGCTGGGCATGGTGCCACACACCTGTAGTCTCAGCACTTGAGAGACTGAGGCAGGAGGAGTTTTAGGTCAGCCTCACTACTTAATAAGCTCTAAGCCCCTGGCTTAACAGGTTTTAGCCACACAACACTGACAACCATGTGTCTAAGAAGCGCAGAGCCTTCACCACTTCCCCTGGTGGGAAGAGCACCGCAAACACAAACTCACACTCTGGCACATTAGTTGTTTTAATCCACAGGATTGGCACATTAGGTATTTCAACTGGTGAAATACAAGTTTTTGTTTTTGTTTTATTTTTGTTTTCGCCAGTCCTGGGGCTAGACCTCAGGGCCTGGGCACTTTTTGCTTCTTTTGCTCAAGGCTAGCACTCTACCACTTGAGCCACAGCACCACTTCTGGCTTTTTCTGTGTATGCTGTACCAAGGAATCGAACCCAGGGCTTCATGCATGCTAGGCAAGCACTCTACCACTAAACCACATTCCTAGCCCTGAAATATAAGTTGTATGGTCAGTTCATACGTCTGCCTCATAAAATTTCACTGAGTGGAGAAGTTCAGGACAGACAGGGAACTTGGAAGAAACTTCCATTTTGACCTTACATCCAGTAATGTTTATTCTAAAAACTGAGAATATATTTTAAGAGGTTGGAAGGAAAAACAGAAATGGTCAGGGAAAAATGTTTTTGGCAAAATATTTGAAAAAGCCTTTGAGTTACTGTGTTCTTGAGTAGAAAAAGTAAAAGCTCTTTTCGTTTATTTCTCAAAAAAAAAAAAACCAGCTTTGCTTTGGAGAATTTATAAATTCACTTTGAGCTCCTTTCAGCTTAAATTCAGGTCATTTTTTTTGTTCCAATTTAGTAGGCTGTTGGTATTATTTTTAATGTTTTAATTGTTGGCTGGCTTGATCCATACTTGTTTGGCTTTTTCAGTCATAACTGGTGCTCTATTACTTGAGCCACACTTCTAGCCCAGCTTCTTGCTGGTTGTTTTAGAGATAGAATCTTGCAGAATTTTCTTCC